TATGAGGAGAGAGAGAGAGAGAGAGAGAGAGAGAGAGAGAGAGAGAGAGAGAGACTGGTAGTTGCAGTCTTTGTGTAACAGCTTCGGGTGATGCATCCCATCATTTCCTCTGGTTTTGTTTTTGCAGTGCTGGGGATCAAACCCAGTGCATCATTCATGCCAGGCAGGTACTTTGCCACTGAGTGACACCCCCCTGCTCAAATTCCATAATTTCTTCTGTGTTATGGTCATTTGAGTGAGTTTCTAAGTTGTGCCTATATTCTGGTAGAAGGAAATTAGACTCTATCTCTTGAAAGGAGGTCTACAAAGAATTTGTAGCAATCACTGCACTGAATTATGGTATTTCTTCTCAACACAGTGTTTGATAATGTCACATTAGTAATTTGAGATCAGTCAGGGTGGGAATATTCACATCATGTAAATCAGAAAGAACTCTGAATCATGCCTTTCCCCATTTACTAACACACCTGGATGGATATAGAGCTTTGTGTTCTCAGAATTTGGGGGGCGGGGATAGGTAAACTTTAGACAGGACTTTGGAAGAAGAAAATAAAGGTTACATATATAGAAAGAGCTAGTTTCTGAATTTGATGAGAAGCTGAAAGTAGAGGTTGTGGGAGTTTAAATATGCCAATACAAATGCCCAGAAGTGACATGGGAAAAAAAACAGCTGTCTCTTTATCTCAATTTATTTTTTCATATACGTGCATGCAATTTAAAATAGGGTCTGCATATTGAATTTAACTGCGCATACAAACACATTAAAGACTTGGCATGCAAGGTTTTTTAATTCCACAGTCAAGATGGGTGAGAGCACATTTGACTATGATGTCACAAATGAGAACTGTATGCTCCAGTAAAACTGGTGTAGCTGGCCTACATGCAAAATAGCCCAGAATTGCAAAGATGATCAAATATTAGTTCCTTTGAACTGATGCCTTAGTGTGTTTGTGGTGTGCCTGATAATACATAAAGAACACTGCCATCCATCAGGTTTGTGGGAAATTATTTCAAAAAGAAAACTTTTAGAACCATAGCATTTTGGATTTGAAACAGACCTCAGAATATTATTATTATTTCTCAGAGCATGTCTGCCAGTCAATCAAACATCAAAACTAGAAACAATTGCCTGCCTGCTCATATGTCTCTCTCCCTTTCTCTCTTTTTTCTCTTCCTTTTGTTTACTTTTGAGACAGGGTCTCATGTAATCCAAATTGGTTTCAAAATCACTGTGTAGTGGAGTCTGGTTTTAAGCTCCTGATTCTCCTGCCTTCATTCCTAAGTGCTGAGGCTACAGGTATGTACCACCATATCTGGTTAGTTTTCTTGTTAAAACCCCAAATATTTTGTTTTATTCAAAATTGTTTTATTTTTATTTTATGTGATTGTGTTGCCTGAATGTATATAACCGCACAGTGCATGCAATACCCATGGAGACCAGAAGAGGATGTCAGATCCCCTGGAACTGGAGTTATGGAAAGTTGTGAGCCACCATGTGGGTACTGGGAACTGAACCTGGGTCTTCTGGAAGAGCAGTCAGTGCTGCTTAACCATCGAGTCTTCTTTTCATTTCTAAAACCCCAAACCAAAAATCTTATTAATGCTTGCTATATTGTAGAGGCTTGAAAACATGCCTCAGTTGCACTCAAAGATTAGAGAATGGACAATCTAACCCAAACTTTTTTTCTAGATTAGGGCCACAAACATCTAAGAAGCAAAAAAGATCCCTTCAAGTAAGACCCCATAACTAGCGTAGTCCTATCTGCTTTCTAAAAAGTGACAAAACAAACAAAAACAAAAGAAACTCCATAGCCCATAAAGGCGACGTTTTGGAGGAATAAAAAATATAACCAACACCCCTTTAAAGAAAAGTCAGCCAAGGAACAGCAAAGGACAGTAATGAAAGGATGCAGTTTATGTTTGTAGTAACCAGTCAATATGCCCCACCTAGCCACAAATTAATGTGGTTACTTTAAATTGTTAACATGAACATCTTAACCCTGTACTTTTGACGTTATTGGTTTTAGCTATTCTATTTCCTTCTCTCTAGGTTTCCAAGGTTGCTCTTTGGGGAATGATTTTAGAAATGTAATTATAATTCTGGTTTCAAACTTCTGAACAGAGTACTCAAACACAGGCTGGTCACAGCGGAAACAACACAGTTTTTTAAAGCTCTGTCTACTTTAACAAGGAATTTGGTGATATCCAAATCAGTTCAACTAAGTGGTATGTTTATAGTTTATAAATTGGTAGCTTCTCCCCCCCCCAAAAAAATACCCCAAAGAACATCTGTGTTTGCTAGTTGAAGTGACACACATCTATAACCTACACTTAGGAGGCTGCAGGCAAGAGAGTCAGGAGTTCAAGGCCAGCTTCAGATATGTATAGAGTTTGAGGCCAACCTGGGCTTCATGAGACCCTGTCTCAAGAAAACAACAACAACAACAACAACAGCAGCAGCAGCAACAACAACAACAACAACAATCTGTGCTGCTCTGGGAGATGTAGACGGGTGTTTGAAGCTTGTCTCCCCACTTTCACCTTGGTAACCATTTCTGTGTATTCATTTATCTATTCATTTATTTACTGGAGAGAGAGTCTCACTATGTAGCCCAGGTTGACCTTGATCTTTGGCATCTTACTGCCTCAGTGTCCTAAATGCTGGGACTACAGGTATAAATTACCACGCCTGACTTGTGCTTCTTTTTTTTTAAAAAAAATATTAATTTTATTTTGTGTGTGAGTGCATTATCTGCATGTATGTAAGTCTACCTGTGTTGTGCAAGGGGAACTGAGGTTGTAGATGGTTGCTAGCCTTCATGTGGGTTCTGGGATTCGAACCCAGGTCTTCTGAGCCAGTGCTCAGTGCTCTTAACTGCTGAGCCATCTCTTCAGCCCTCTGGTTTTTTTTTTTGTGTGTTTGTTTGTTTGTCTTTTTGAGATAGGGTCTCCCTGTAGCCCCAGCTGGCCTGGAGCTGATTTTGTAGCTGACATACTGTCTCTCTGTGTGTGTGTGTGTGTGTGTGTGTGTGTGTGTGTGTTATATGCTATTATATACCTGTGTGAGTGTGCACACTTGGGCTGTACATGTGCTGAGGCCAGAGGTCAGCCTTGGGTATCCTCCCGTAATGGTTTACATCTTCTATTTTGAAGCAGGGTCTCTTTTGAACCTGAAGCTCACCGACTAGCTGTTGAGTAAGCCCAGGGAATCTACCTGTCTCCAGCTCCCCAGCATTGGGATTACAGACCCATTCCATCCCTGGGGTTTTAATGTTTGCTGGGGATCCAAACTCAGGCCCTTATGTTTGTGCAGCAAGTGCTTTACCCACCAAGTCATCTTCCTAACAGCCCCTTAACAGTTTTTGAACCATAATATTTACTTTATGACTGCCTATTGAAATCCAGAAGATGCACTGGACACTACAACTACTGCCCTTTTGATTTTAGAATTGTTCCTTCATACAGTCCATGCCTGAATTTGTGATAGACAAATTTTAAGTACCTCATTTGCCAGTCCTGATAATATTTTGTTTCTTAGCTTTGACACTTCAGTTACACTTTCTCTTGTCTACAGGAAAGCAGAAGTAGGCCTTCCTAGAGCCACGGGCCCCACAAGGTGTGCCTTACAGTGTCAATTTTCAAATGACAGCATTCCCTGGGTCCTCTCACTGCCTCTAAGAAACTGAAGAGACCAGGAGAGAAGGCACATTCCACTATGTTATGCTCCACTTAAAAAAATAATTTATGGGGGCTGGAGAGAGATGGCTGAGTGGTTAAGAACACTGGCTGTTCTTGCAGAAGACCTGGGTTTGAATCCCAGCACCCACATGGCAGCTAACAACTGTCTGTAACTTCAGTTCCAAGGGATCTGACAGTCTCTTCTGTCCTCCTCCTCCTTGGGCATTGCACAACATTGGTACCCTTACCTACATTAAGGCAATACATTCATACACATAAAATAAAAATAAATAAAATATTAAAAAATAATTTATATATTTGTATTATTTTCCAGCTGAAAGCTTTTATGCAGGACAATGCCTTATTAGACCATGTTGAAGGAAGAATCATAAAAAATTAAAGTCTCTCATGAAGCATTACCCAGCTGCCCTGCAGTTTTCTTCTTAGTTGCAATGCTCAGTGGGTTATTTTTTCAGAGTTGTGCTGTTGTTAAATCCAAATGGCAATCTTTTCACAGTAACATCTGCCACAGATGTTGCTCCAGGAATATAAGTCCTGCCCAAGGTGGTCATTTAAACCTGTCGGTGACTTTTTATTTTTGCAGTCACTTTGTAGTACCATTTATTTTTTACCAAGTTTTTGTTTTCTAACAGGATTTAATTGTAATGCCGAACTAAAATATTGGACTAACACACCAGCAGTGTTGTATTTTGTTTTTCCCAGGGTGTTATAGAAGGTGGTTGGCGCAGATCCTGCCTGCAAAGGGCATTCTTACCTCATCCCATTTTTGCCTAGGAGAACCCGGGAATATGTCTAAATACAATTAAAGACTGCCTGCAAATTGGTAGAAAGCACCTCAAAAGCAAAGTGCACAGTGTTCTGATTTCTTGCCAGACCTTGTTGACAATAAAACCCCAACCCTTGGATTCTGGTTTGAACAACTGAAACTGCTGGATCAGGAAGAGAAGGGAATCTCTCTCTCTCTCTCTCTCTCTCTCTCTCTCTCTCTCTCTCTCTCTCTCGTCTCTAGGTGGAAATCCTAGAGATACTACCTCAAAGGGCTCTAGTTACAACTCAAGAATATGTTTTCCACGCGCAGCGTCCCTTGGGTCATGGCTCTCTCTCAATGACAACCAGGTTCCTGAGCCCAGGCCTTAGCTATCATTTCACTTGCGTGGTCCCAGGCGCCATTTGGCTTTTGACGTCGGTCTGAGCCAAGGAATCACGCCAGTATCCCCGGCGGCTGAGGCTCCGGCCCTCCCCTCGCTCTGGCGGTGCTCCTTCCCGGCGTGCTCGCCCACCCGGGCGCTGCGCCGGGTGGTGCGGCGCGCATAGCCGCCCTGCCGCCTCTGGGTGGCCCCAGCGCGCATCGCCGCTCATCGACCAGGGAAGGTGAGGCGAGAGGAGGCTGGTGCGGAGCTCGCGGGCCGGTGCGCAGCGCTCTGCAGCTCCACCCGGGCAGGAGCAGACAAAAGAGGCCGGCGGTGCACAGCTCGCGGGGACGGCGATGGCCGGGCGCGGAGGCCGGGCGCTGCTGGCGCTGTGCGCGCTGGTGACCGCCGGGTGGCTGCTGGTGGCCGAAGCCCAGGAGCCCGGGGCTCCCGTGGCCGGGATGCGGCGGCGCCGGCGGCTGCAGCAGGAGGACGGCATCTCCTTCGAGTACCACCGCTACCCTGAGCTGCGCGAGGCGCTGGTGTCCGTGTGGCTGCAGTGCACCGCCATCAGCAGGATCTACACGGTGGGGCGCAGCTTCGAGGGCCGGGAGCTGCTGGTCATCGAGCTGTCCGACAACCCCGGGGTCCATGAGCCTGGTAAGGACGCTGCCGGCTGCCAGCCCTGAGGACCTCCCGGGAGGGTGGCAGGGCGTGGGACTGGTGGCCGTGGGGGAGGGAGAAGAGGTGGGCCAGGGATGCTTCCAGGGGAAGGGTGCCTGGGTGGAAGGTGAGACGTGGGAAAGAATGAAACCTAGAACGCCGCCTCTGCCCCCCTCGCTTCTGTCTCCCACCCCAAGCCATCTACCCAACCCTTGGTGAACCAAGGCGGTCGGCCTTTCCTGTGGACACGAGTGGAAAATAAGGTGCAGAAGGCGGGGTCTCAGAGGATAAAGAGTCATTTATCATTTGCGAATTTCCAGAGAACCTGCTTATTGGGTGCTGTAGGCTCTGAGCGCCAGCTTTCCTCCGTGTGCTCACAACACTGGCTTCTTTGGATGCTGGCAAATTTTAAGAATATTGCCGAGCTGGGGGGAGGGGAGTCATGCCGTGTGTAGACATATAAGCCCTCCTACTAGCGTGGAAAGGGGGTCTCTGATCAGCTTTCAAATTCTGAAACTGCACACCGCCTGGGTTTTTAAAAAATCCTTTTTTTTCCTGCTGGTGGGGCAGTTTTACCCATTAACCATCTTCTTAGGCGGCGTCTTCTTTCAGAGTACATTAAAGCACCTTAGATTTATGTTAAAGGTAAACGGTTTTTTTATATTAAAGAGGTATTTTTAGCAATGGTCTTGGGATTTTTTTTTTTTTTTTTTGTGGTGGGGGGTGGAGCGTTATGTCTCTGCTCTTTGGAAATGATTTAGGCCTGATCTTCCTTCTGACAGTAAAGGGCTGTTGTTACTCAGCATGGAATTGTTGATTTTCTTTTTTAAATAACAAAGAAAGCACAAAGATAGCCTAAAAATTCTCAGCGCAGGACATGAATAGTTTCCCTTCCTTTATCTCTCCCCACCTCCCTCTTTCCTGGCAGGGTCTCCTGGATCCTAGCTATTCTGGCCTTGAACTTGAAGTATAGTGGAGCCTGGCCTTGAACTCCTATCTTCCTGCCTCTGTCTCCCAGTGCTGGGATTATGAATGTGCCCCATCACTCATAATCAAACCTACTTCTTCCTCCCATTTTGCAGGATTAGGATGGAATCCACAAAGCCTCTCTCACTGAGCCATGCCCTCAGCCATCAGAATAGTTTTACAAGGATAGAGGGGAACCAAACTGAGAAGGTATTAAAACAGATGAACGATAATAGAGATAGTTTGATCTAATGTGAAATGTATGGGTTGATCAGTACTAAATCTTCAGAAAACATTTCTTGCCTTCAAATAATGCAAGTCAAAAGATGTGTATAAATTCGCTGTCAAAACTCTAAAATCAGGTCCTAGAAAACATTTAATACGATGCATTCCAGGATTTGGTGTGTACACTTAGAACTTTAGCTAGTTTTTGAACATCTATTGGAAAATAAAGAAAAAAAAATTAGACATGACTCATTTTCAACGAAGTCCGACAACCATAACCAGCCACCTCTGGCAATAAAGCGTGACTGATTCTCTGCTTGCTTAATTAGAGCCTTTTGTCGTTCTTTTTTTGTGGGCTGTTGGTTCCTTGCATTACTATTCAAAATGATTACGTGAAAGCTATGGTTTAACTTCATGTTGTCTTGTTCAAATTTGGTGATAAATCATAAAGTGATGTTATTGTAAGGATGTGACATGGTTTCAAAATGAAAATGAAAATTTTACTTGAATATCTAGAATGGATAGTGCATGAGATTTGTGAATCTCCTATCCATTGCAATCTCCATGAGGTAGAGCCTGTATCTCTAGCACCAGGCTCAAGCAGGGGACATAGCAGGCCTGAATATACATTATGAAATAGTACACATTATGGAGAAATACTATATGGGAAAAGAAAAACAAATAGGTTACTAGCTGGGCATCACGGTGTTTCATAATAATTTTTTTCCCTCATATTTATAAAGCACACTAACTTAATTCAAAGATGAACTCACAAATGTACAGTGTCTGCTTTACGATTCCAGACTAAATGAAGGAAACTTTATGTACAGTTGTCATAGATTTATAGAATATATAATGTCTATCCACTACATTTTGAAAAGTAAAAATAAACTGTTAGGAATCAACACTAAATGATCTCACTCTCCACCATCTCTTACGAGGGGTAAGTAAGCAAGAAATCTCCAAGTTACTAGTTAATTTGTGGGTCTGACCAGTGTAAAGTTTAACAGTACTTGCATGAATTAACCTTATAAGAAGTTTGGATAAAAGAAGATGATCATTTTAAAATGACCTTCAAATTCCTTTTTGATTTAGACAAATGAAAAAGGAATAGCTGTACCTTTTTCTGAGGTAGTAATGGGTTCATTCCGTGGTTTTTTTTTTTTTTTTTTTAAATTCTACACATTCAAGGTGAGTCAAGATCTATAAATTCTACACATGGTCATGTTCCCCTTAGGAGAATAGCGAATGCGAAGTTTTGGTTCAGCGTAAAGGCTATCGGGCAATAAAATGACTGCGGGAAGACCTGAGAAAGAATCGGGATCTATATGTGTGTGTGTGTGTGTGTGTGTGTGTGTGTGTGTGTGTGTGTAGGGAGGAGGGCAAGAGACTAGAAAGTGTGTGACAAGAAGACAGGAAATGCACAAATATTGAAATTTACAAATTCCAACTTTACCCAGCACACCTGCCTTTACTAGTTTCACTTTGTAAGTGCCTTTGGGGTTTGTTAGAAATAACATTAATTTATAAATATATTTATTATTATTATTATTATTAGTCTAGATTAGTCATGGTTTTGCTCTGTGTGTGTGTGTGTGTGTGTGTGTGTGTGTGTGTGTGTGCATGCGCCCTGGTGCATGAGTGGAAGTTAGAGGACAACTTTCAGGAGTTACTTCTCACCTTCCATTATGTGGGTCCTGAGGATCAAATTCAGGATGTAAGGCTTGATAACAAGTACCTTTATCCTGGAGCCTTCTCACTAGCCCTGAAATAACATTTTTGATTCTGCTTTAGGAAATAATATATAACAAATTCATTTACTTGACTAAAAGTTTTGTGGAATTTTTCGCATTCTTTTTATTTTCTGGCATGGGAAAAGAGTCGTTTGTTCATTTTCTTCATCTAGATAATTTTTCTGAACATCCAAATAAATGCTGTGAACTTGGGATGTAGCCAAGTAGTAGAGCACTTGCTCAAGGCTTTGGGTTACCAGTACCAAAAGAAAAAATATGTAGATAGTTTCTGAGGCTTTAGTCAACATAGTAGACCTTTAACAAAGCAAAATACTCTCCCTGCCAAAAAATCCAACCAACCAACCAAACAAAAACCCCCACAACACTCTCCATGCTGTATGACCAGCAGCTGAGAGTTACATTTGGTTAGATTAGCATCTTATGGACAGCTACTTGTTGAAATCTCAAGCTCGCTTCCTTGTGTTTATTTGGCACAAGCTGTGGGCTAAACTTGAATTTACCTAATGATTCTCTCAGATATTTAACATTTGAATTCACCAAAAGGGAAAGGAGGGACTGGGGACATGTCTGTGGGGAGATGGTTCAATCAGTAAAGTGCTTGTCACACAAGCATGAGGACCTGAATTTGATCCTCCAGAACACAGGTAAACAGTCAAGCTTGGTGCACCTATAATCTCAGTTCTGGGGAGACAGAGACAGGTGCTTGATGACCAGCTGGTCTAAGTGAATCACCAAGCTACAGGTTCGGGAAGAGAACCCATTTCAAAATATGGAGAGCAGTTGAGGACAGCACCTAACATTGACCTTTGTCCTCCACATACCTGCATGCAAACACACAGACACACAGACACAGACACAGACACACTGACACACACAGACACAGAGACACACAGACACACACACAGAGGAAATTCTATTTTGAATTGATGAATGAGGAATGTCTGTACATAGTCTGTGATGACTTAATAGGACTCAGCTTGATTTTTGTCTTGTTAAAATATGCATGAAAGAAATCTTTATTAATTTACATCTTAGTAGTAGAACCACATTCACAAACTGTTCTTTCCAGCATTGAGTATGAATTAATTCATTACTTTAAAACAATAGTTTTACATGTAGTTCAAGATTGCTTCTGGGAAGTCAATCTGATTTACAGTTGAAATGCCATCTTAAGTACATTCTTGAAAGCATAGATTTTTCTCTCTCACAAGTTGGAATGATTATTTTGGAGATATTCCTCCAAAATCTGTAAGAATTTAAAGTGTACGAGTGCTGGTATACAGCCAAATATTGCGATGGAATGTATAATCTTGGCAAAATGTCCACACAGCTTGAAAAAAAATAAATAAGTGGAGATTTTGACTATGTATATGGCTTCTTTTTGTAACAGATTAATATGGATTAGTGTGAAATGATTACAACTAAGTGATACTCAACAATAGGTGAAGATAGATGTTATATTCTAGGGAAGAGTCCATAGCAAACCACACAAGGTCAGGAGTTATTTTTAGACTGAATGAGTCAACACAGCTTTTTCCAGAAGTTAGGTTCTTTACCATTTTGTGTGGCTGTTGGGAGGTCACAGGTTCTATATTTGAGTGTGGACTTTACGATGCAGCTGTAAATAAACCTCTACCCTATGCTCTGTTAAAAATATATTTTTAAAAAGTTTCCTTTTTTTTCTTTTTTCTCCCAGGCAGTGCTGGGGATTGAGCCTAGGGCCTCAGGCATGCCAGGCAAACACTCTACCACTGAGCTCCAGCTCCAGCACTTTGGGTATATGCAATACCACATGACAATTATCGTAATTTTAAAAAATATTTATTTTTTATGTATATATGTATGATCGTGTGTGAGTATATGTGCACGTTGTGCATTCAGAAGTACATGGAGGCCAGAAGAGGGTGTAAGATTCCCTGGAACTGGAGTAAAGGTTATGTGCTGACATATGGGTGCTGGGAGCTGATCCTGGGTCCTCTGGAAGAGCAGTAGGCCCTCTTAACTGCTGATCCATCTTCCCAGCACCTCATTATCATATTATTAAGGATTCAT